AGAGCTTGAGAGACTGGGGTCCCAGCATTGTCACTGGTAGGTATTCAGAGCCATAAGTGACAGCTACAATGTCCTTTGATTAGGCTCTTCTAGGCTGTCATGGTCCATGGGTAGTATTTCAGCACATAATTCAAGCATGCAATCTATACAGTGCTTTAAAAATGGCTAGTGAGAGACCAGCAGGTGGTGTGGTGGTTAAGGATGCTGGACTCCCACATGGCCGACTGTGGTTCAAGTCCTGGACCTGGTGGCTTGCTTTCTCACGTTTTTCCCCCTCTCTCTGTTCCTCTGGCCAAATTAAAAATAAATAAATAAAGTTAAATAAAATAATTTTTTTTTTAAAAAAAGACTGGTGATATCTCCAGGCATGTATGAGTGGGTGGCCAAAATCCAAACAGGATGGGGAAATGGAGGAGGGGAAGGGACTGTGGCATGTTCATGCTCTGCTTGGAGCTGCTTTCTCACTTTCCCTATCTCCGGTAAGTGCAAGCACCCTCTGGCAATAAAAAAAAATTGTGGTATCCCAGAAATGTGTGTGTATTAGTTGTCCTTAGTTCAGGACTATCTTTCAGCGTGTGTTAGTGTATACCAGCAGGAAATGTCCTCACAACTATTCGAAAGAAAAAAAAAACTGCCCAGAGGCACCGAAGATCTACTTGCAATTAAAGGACCTATCAGCATAGTTTTGGCTTAGCAGGGCAGGTATGGAGGTCAGCATAGGGGTAATGGAAATGAAGATCCTGGCAAGAGTGTGGTTGCTCTGATATGAGAAGGATGAAGGGAGAAGATAGGAGATAATAGACCTGAGTAAACAGGAGAAAGGAAAGTTGACAGTTAAAATTTCAGATGTGGGGCTGGCAGGTGGTGTGGTGGTTAAAGGGCATCGTACTCTGACATGGCTGACCAGGGTTCCAATCCCAGACCCTGCGGCTTGCTTTCTCACTCCCACCCCCCACTGTCCCTCTCTTGTCAAAATAAATCAACAAACAAACACATAAATAAAGTTAAATAAAATAATGCTTAAAAAAATTTAGATCTGGACTAATTCTGGATCAAGGCGTGAAATTCAAGAAGTTGGGAAATAGGGTTTGCAGTGGAATAAAGGAAGAGATTGTGGGAATTAAGGTAGTCCGGGAGCTCTGGCCCTCAGATTTTGGATGGATTGTGTAACACGAACGCTGAAGGTGTGAAGAAGAGGCAGCCCGGTGCTGAAGTCATCAGTGAACGTAGGAGGGTGATTGATTGATTGATTATCAGGACATACGTATATGATAAATTACATGGAGGAATAGAAGATTTTTTTTTTAATCTAAGCAAAAGACCAAGTGTTAAAAGACTAGTAGGAAGCTAAGTTTTAGAAAATAGGTCTGTAAGCTCTAGATGAGCATTTTTTCTTTCTTCCTTCCTTCCTTCCTTCCTTCCTTCCTTCCTTCCTTCCTTCCTTCCTTCCTTTATCTTTTTTGGAGAGGTTTTTGCTATAGGGCGCGTGCACTTGCCAGACAGAGAGAGACATAGAGACAGAAAGCAAGAAGTCACTCCCTAGGGGGGATGGTCACACTGCAATCCCTTCTCCATTCTCCTCTCGGGATCTTGGGCACGCATGTACACGTGCCCGGCGTGAGTTTTAAGCCACTGGGTCCGGGATGCGAACTGCGGTCGACTACGTGGGAGTCCAGCGACATAGCCATTATGCTAACTGCTGATTCCCAAGAAGAGCATTTTTTTCTAAGATGGGTCGGGTGTGGGGAGGTCTGGAAGCTGTGAATCTGAGGAAAACTGTCTTGTTTAAATCAGGTTGGGGAGGGAACTTTCTGTGACCAGCCAACATGAGCATGTAGGGGAGTTTGTTTACATTGAACAGGGTTCCACAGGGCACAGTGGAAAGGTTGGGAGGGAATTCAAGAATGGAGGATGGGTCATTGGGGAGGAAGCCAGGAGCTGTGTGAGGATGAGAGTTAAGAAGAGGATAGATGGCCTGGGGGGGTTTGTGTGAACAGGAGAGAATTACTTTGCTTCATAAACAGTCTAATAGCCTGAATTAGTTTATTCTGCTTTCCTTAAGAGATCTAATTATAATTCCACTATCTTAGCTTCATTTCTCCAATATGCAAAGTTGTGGTTTAATTTCCTTTAAAATTATGTATTTATCTTTTAAAATATATAAGCAGTACATCATCATTGTTTTCAGAAATGAGGTTAATGAGGTAAGTAAAAAGGAAAACAGACTTCTCTTGAAATCTCACAACCAAAGGACATCATTTTGGTATATATTCCTCCAGACTTGTTCTTGTTTAAACAAATATATATGTGTTTAATTTTTGAAGATATTATTCAGTATATTGTAGTCACCTATGTTTTTGTATATAAGTGACTAATACCTTTTTTATCAGAATAGGTAGATTGCTGGCATTATGTTTAATTGTTACAGTAATTTATTATAGAACTACCATATTTATTTAAAAATATGTTGTTGGACTTTTGAATACTTTCTAATTTTTTATTACAAATAAGGCTACAATAGGGACCAGCAGGTGGCGTGGTGGCTAAGGTGCTGGACTCTTTCCCTGTGTCTCTCTCTGGTCAAATTAAAGATAATAATGGTAAATCAAATCAAATAAATAATTATTTTAAAAAAAAGAAAACATAATGTACATATGTAAAGCTGTACCTAATGAGCAGTATATAAAGAAATGGTAAGGCTGTGATGATCAGGAAATATTTCAGTAGTTATGCTGAAAGCCCACACTACCTTCTGATGTTCTCCTGCAGAGAGCAGGTATTAGTCTGGTTTTGTTACAAAATAAATCATTACCTTTTTTTAAAAAAAGATGTTATTTAACTTTATTTATTTATTTTAATTTGACCTGACAGGGACAGAGAGAGAGAGAGAGAGAAAATGAGAAAGCAAGCCGCCAGGTCCAGGTCTCGAACCACGGTTGGCCATGTGGGAATCCAGCGCCTTTAACCACCATGCCACCTGCTGGCCCTAATCCTTTGTGTAAATTTCTAGGAGTTTTTAAGTGTACTTTCTTGTGTAATTTCTGTTTTATCTCCTTTTCTCATAATTTAATATTGGGGCTATTAAATCCTTTTGTGTTGCTAATTTTGGAACACTTGTAAATAAATTTGATGAACCATGTAAAATCAACGGGAAAGACATAGATTGTAAGTTAACGACTTACCATTATTCGATACATCTTTAACAGATTCTTTTCCCCAGACAGGGAAGCAAAAAAAAAAAAATCGACTGCAAACTTTTAGGTTACATCCTCCCAAAGGGCTTGTACATTTAGAACTAAGGCAGTGGAATTGAGATAATTGTAAAAATTATTAAAACTCTTAAGTTAATAATGTCTTATGAGTTCATGTACATGATTAACACCATTTTCTTTGATTACTTTTTTTCCAGGTGATTCATGGCAGGGGACGTGGAAGGATTCTGTTCTTCCATCCATGACACCAGTGTCTCTGCTGGGTTCAGAGCACTGTATGAGGAGGGATTGCTTCTCGATGTCACTCTGGTTATTGAAGACCATCAGTTCCAGGCCCATAAAGCACTCTTGGCCACCCAGAGTGACTACTTCAGAATTATGTTTACTGCAGACATGAGGGAACGAGATCAGGACAAAATTCATTTAAAAGGTCTAACTGCCACTGGTTTCAGCCACGTCCTTCAATTTATGTACTATGGAACTATAGAACTGAGTATGAATACTGTTCATGAGATTCTTCAGGCTGCCATGTATGTTCAACTTATAGAAGTGGTGAAGTTCTGCTGCTCTTTCCTATTAGCGAAAATCTGCTTAGAGAATTGTGCAGAAATTATGAGACTCTTAGATGATTTCGGTGTAAACATCGAGGGAGTCAGGGAGAAGTTGGACGCCTTTCTGCTAGACAACTTTGTGCCACTCATGTCCAGGCCTGACTTCCTGTCCTATCTGAGCTTTGAGAAGCTCATGTCTTATTTGGATAATGATCATCTGAGCAGGTTCCCAGAGATAGAGCTGTACGAGGCTGTGCAGTCTTGGCTGCGGCATGATAGAAGACGCTGGAGACATACCGATACCATCATTCAGAACATCAGGTTTTGTTTGATGACCCCATCCAGCGTTTTTGAGAAGGTTAGTGCATTTGAAAGCAATAGACAGGACTCATCATTCAGTTAAGACAGTATTTCTTTATATGTAAGATTCCCAGACTTGGATGGGAACCAAAAAAAAAAAAAATGAGTAAGATTTATTGTAGCTCGTGCATTTAGGTTTTAAAAAATACATTCTGTGGGTGAACGATGAACCAGGTAGGTAGTAAAATAGTCAAATTTTAAAAGTACTTTTAAAGTTGAAGCATCATTATTTGAACTAAAATATTAAAAGTTTGCTTTAGCTTTTCTTTCTTTTCACAAAGTAATTAAAACTGAACTGGGGCAGGCTAGCTCTTTTTAAAAATTAAGTAATACATGCTGAAATTGGTGTTGAGAGTTTAATAGTTCTGCATGGTATATATTAAGACAGTTTCTTATTCCTTCAAAATATAGTGAGGATACATAAAATATTTCTTGAAAACCAGTAGACCAAAATGGTGATTTTCTTCCCTACTCTCATTTAGTTCTGTTTTTCCCTCTGTTCCACTGAATATTAACTAAATTCAACCATGAAAATATATATCACTGAAAACACCACTTGGGCATTTCTAAACAAGTAGGCTATAAATCCTCTATCTACATTAATCGAACATCCCTGTGCACATCTTACCACATAAATAGTTCTCTCTTAAAAATAGTCTTTCTCCAAAACACCCTTGGCCTTTTTGCATGTAAGCATTTTCGTTTTTATATCAGAGTCTCACTTGTGATCCTTTCTTGCCCAAAGGAGAGAGAGCAGTTTCAGTAATTGCTTAACTTAATTGGTTTCTAATCACATGGTTACCTCTGGGGCTCTGTTTACCTCTTGCATCTTTTATTCTTTCTAGAAAGCACACTGAAATCTTGGGAGACACCCTTCACATTAAACAGTTCCTCAGCCTTAGTTACCATACCCGGTGATAAAAATACCTGTAAAGGAGAGTTCTTTATGCCATTTGAGAAATAAACAATTGTGCACCTTTAAATAACACTCAGCATACTGGCATAATTTTTTTTTTCCCCTCCGAAATGCTGTAAAATATCATTAACTTACAATTTTAGCAGAGAACTCAATTTTGAGGGATTTTTATCTTTATTCTCAGAATGTATGGATATGGCAGAAATAATTGAAACTAAAGGCTGTATTTAGTTACTTTTTCTTCAGTGACAATTAGTTCCACATCAACTGTGTAAATCATTTGTCACTGATGGTTTGATTTTTCTCCTTACTATTGTTTTTATTGCTCGCGTTCCCTGGGAAATCCTGTTTTGTCTTTATACATTAAATGCAAATCCTTTCCACTACTAAAAACCTTCCAACCTCAGTTGAGATGGAAATACTTGTAAAATAGAAAATAAAATTTCCCCTCTTATGAGACAACATAATGGATAACCAGTAATAGGCAGTGATGTTTAAGTTCTGAGATGCAGAGCCTTATATATTTTTTTTTTTTTTTTTTTTTTTTTTTTTGCTGTAGGGCGCATGCACTTGCCACAAAGACAGAGAGAAATCACCCCCCGGGGGGAACGGCCACACCACAATCCCTTCTCCATTCTCCTCTCGGGATCTTGGGCATGCACGCACACGCGCACGGCATGAGTTTAAGCCACGGGTCTGGGACTCAAACTGCGATCGGCTACATGGGAGTTTAGCAACATAGCCATTACGCTAACTGCTGGTCCCGCCTTATTGTATATATTTCTGTTTTAAGTACAAGGTGGACAGCAGTGACAGCGGTTAAAGTTAATCCTATCAGGTAATTTTATGGATTGTAGAAAGCATCCATTTGCTTGCTGGTGGATTCCTCTGCCATCTATAGCATATATAGTCAGATAGTGAGAATTATCAGAATAAAAATGTTGTTAATGCTTCTTTCTGGAATTAATTTATTAGGAAAACTTAAGGACCCAGTCACAGAGAAATATTTCAGTGTTTTTATAATATTTTATAAACCTTTCAGTTATACTTTAGTAATACTTGTAAAAGAACAGAAGATAGTCACCCTTGTCTTAGTGGTGTGAGATTTAATGTTTTTCAAAGGAATCTATGACATTTTTAAAAAAGACTCTAGAACTATAACTCCAGAAGCCACACTATTGAGTTGTTGAGAAAGTCTTGACATATTTTTCTGTGCAAAAATGCATCTTTTCCGATGACCCAGTAAAATGAAAATTGTGGTTGGGAAATAATTTAGACTATTTTATGCATACCATTTTGAGCTTCTTGAAAATACACCCTATAAATCTAGCCTATGTATGGCCTGGTGGTTAAGGAAGCTGGATTCCACATGGCAGACTATGCCAGACTAAGTGGCTTGAGAAATATGCCAGGCACAAGTACATGCATGCCCAAAATCCTAAAAGGAAGGAGAAATGGAGAAGGGATTGCTACGTGACCATGCTTCCTTTTTCTCTTTCTCTCTCAGTGAGCCCTAGCACATGTACCCTCTGGCAAATTAAAAAAATAAATAAATAAAAAGGATCAGCCTTAGAGTGGCTGGATCCCACATGGCTGACTGCACCTGGAGTTCAGGAAACAGGCATCAGCTTGAAAAACACACCAGGTGTGTGTGCATGTTTGCCTAAAACTCCTGAGAGAATGAAAAAGGAGGAATTACGGTGTGGCCACCTCTTTGGGGGGATGCTTTCTCACTGTCTCTTTCTTTGTCTCTGTCTCTGGAGAGCGTATACTCACTATAGCAAACTAAAAAAAAAAAGCCCTATCTTTAATATTTTTCCTATATTGAGCACACGGTGGGTCTCAAACAGTACCACTTTAACATCCTTTTTCTATGTTTGGCCCCAGACAGGGTACAGAAACAAAGAAATGTTATATCCATGCTGGTCCTTTTTCCAGTTTGAGAACTACATGGGAAAAAGCACTGGCAGTTTTGATTTATAGTTTTATTTGTTGAAAATCAGCAAAATGGAATGTTGATAGGTACTTATTTTTAGCTTTATAATGTTCTATTGTGTGATAGGTCCGTATTTTTAGCTTTATAATGTTCTATTGTGAGACTTTCTAAAGTAAAACTAAAAGAATAATAGTATGATCACCCATAAGCATATCATATAGATTAATAGCTAGCATTTTGCTGTATTTGCTTTAGCTAGATAGGTAGAGGGTCTGCTGCCTTTATAATTTGGTTTTTGCTAGGCTATTTCAAAGAAAGTTTTAGATTTTACGACACTTCATTCCTAACTATTTCGAGAAGTATTTCATCTCCCAAGACTAAGGATATTATCTTACATAATACCATTGTCACAGCTAAGGAAATTAGTAGTAATTTCTTTTTTTTTTTAAAGAATTAATTTTATTGGGACCAGCAGTTGGCATAATGGCTATGTTGCTGGACTCCCATGTAGTTGACTGTGGTTTGAGTCCTGGACCTGGTAGCTTAAACTCACGCTGGGCACGTGTGCATGTGTGCCCAAGATCCCGAGAGGAGAATGGAAGAGAAAGGACTGCAGTGTGGCCATCCCCCTTGGGTGGTGATTTCTCGCGTTTTGTCTCTCCATCTCTCTCTATCTTTCTGGCAAGTGCACGTGGCCTATAGCAAAAAACTCTCAAAAATTAATTTTATTTATTTATTCATTTATTTTAATTTACTAGAGAGAGACTGAGAGAGAGAGAGAAAGGGTTAGTGATAAAGCAAGCCACTAGGTCCAGGACTTGAACCATGATTGGCCATGTGGAAGTGTCCAGCACCTTAACCACCATGCTACCTGCTAGCCCCAAGAAATTGATAGTAATTTTTCTTTTGGAAATAGAATTATTTAACCTTATTTATTTATTTATTTATTTGAATTTGACCAGAGAAGGACAGCAAGAGAGGAAAAGTGAGAAAGAAAGCCACCAGGTCCGAGACTTGAACAACCATTGGCCATGTGGGAGTCCAGTATCCTCAACCACCACTCCACCTGTAGGCCCAATAGTAATTTATTGATCTTGTGTAATAGCCATCCATTTCCTGAACTTCTCAATTGTTCCAAAAATGTCTTTTTGTAAACTGTATTTCATGAACCAGGATTTAATCAAGCTTACACAGCGCATTCGGTTGTTAGGTCTTTTAATCTATAATTCTCTCCTTTTCCTCATTTTTTCTTTTCTTTCTTTTTTTTTTTTTGGAGAGGTTTTTTTCGCTATAGGGCGCGTGCGCTTGCCAGACAGACAGAGAGAGACATAGAGACAGAAAGCGAGAAATCACCCTCCAGGGGGGATGACCACGCCACAATCCCTTCTCCATTCTCCTCTTGGGATCTTGGGCATGCATGCACACGCGCCCGGCGTGAGTTTAAGCCACTGGGTCCAGGACTCAAACCACTGTCGACTACGTGGGAGTTTGGCGACATAGCCATTACGCTAACTGCTGGTCCCTTTTTAGTAAATACTTAATGTGCTTCTCCTAAGAATAAGGATTTTTTTTCTTCTTTTACCTAAGTATAATATTATTCCACCTGGGAAAATTAACAAGACCCTAATATCATCTAATAGCTAATGTATATTTAAAATTTCCCAGTTGTCACCAAAATGTGCTAGAATCCAATCAAAGTTTATGCATTGCTTTTGGCTGTTATGTCTATCTAGTTTTTCTGGCTATCATGTCTGCCTAATCTTTCTTAATCTAAAATAGTCTTGGGGCTAGCAGGTAGCATAGTGGTCAAGGTGCTAGACTCCCACATGGCCGATTGTAGTTTGTGTCCTAGACCTGGTGGCTTGAAAATCATGTTGGATGTGTGGGCAAGTGTTCCTAAAATCCTGAGAGGAGAATGGAGGAGAAAGGATTATGGTGTGGCCATCCCCCCTTGGGACGGTGATCCCTCTCACTGTCTCTTGTCTCTCTGGTGAGCGAATGCACCCTGTGGCAAAAACCTTAAAAAATAGAATAGTCCCCTACTTTTATTTTTTCGAAGGGGCGGTTATTTCATTTTTGAACATCTACTTTCTAGCATAATATTTTTCAGGAACAATTACAGGAAAATAACTTGTAATGCCAGAGA